CTGATCCACACCCAGATTTGTCCCCTATTTAATTAATCATATTAAGCCCAATTCGAATTGGGCTTTAGGCCCATTAAGCTTTCAGGCTCGTTTCCCTTTATGTGCTAGCTAGTTTGGTTCTCTTTGTATGGCATGGGACCCTATCGTTGATATCTACATCAGCCACATGCGTTCAACCCAACCTCTATTACAAGGCCTGGCTGAATTCACTGCTAAATACAGTGAACCCCTGAGTCCATCAATATGGGCTCTTAATGGGCCCAATGTTTACACTAAATGGTCATTTGGTCCAGCCATCTTATGAAGGCCCAAGGACTGTGGGCAGATGTGAGATTAGCTCATCAGGTTTATGGTGTAGCCGAAAGTGTGTCATTAACCACTTCGGAACACCAGTTTAATAATTTATAAATTTTTCCAATCCTCACATAACCTTAAACAACATAGCACGTGGTGAGGAAGGGGTCGAACCCAYAGGGAAGTAAGAATAAAAATTATTATTTTTTGTTCTGGATAGATAAAAGGAAAATGGATATGGGATTTGCAGAAAATAAGAAAATAGAATTTATTAATGCTGAAATTAAAGGTTYGGAATTAAACAAGACAATAATTAAAATTCATAAATTAAAGAACACAGAAATCAACAAAAGAAATAAATGAAAATGATCCAAAATTTAGATCCAATGGTGGTAGCTATTCGGGAAGATGAAATACAAGCTTTCTCCTTCCGTTCAACCTTCGAACCCCTCGAGACACCTTAGCCTTGAACCGAACGAATTCAAATCTGAAAAACAAACAAACAAACATAAATTAAATCTAAAATATTGCTGGAATAAAAATAACATAAAAGAAAATAAAGAAAATGAAAAGGATAGCTGATCAAATCCAGTGGTGGTAGTTGCAGATTGGATGGACTGCTTGCAGGAACCCCTCCTGACAAGATCTAGGCGTCCTTCCCTTCTACAACCTTGAACTCCTCAAAAAGCCTTAGCCTTGTGAATTGGGTGAATTGACTAACTCGTTTTCCAGGGCCCCTGGGGTCCTTCTTATAGAKAAGGGTGGTCATAACTGAGATTAGAGAGAAAGAGGGAGGCGAAAGCTGGGTTTTTATAGAAACATGGGTGCCCTAGGGTTGAGAATAGAGGGTTAGGATTGTTCTAAGGTGATCCTAAGGCTGAAAAGAGAAGGAGAAGGCGCCCAATATTATGTATGGCTGAGATTTAGACTCCTAAGATTGAATGGTGGAGATTAAAAGGAGTGGATGTCGCCCTAGAGTGAATGGTTGAGATAGAGAGTGAAATAGAGGGCTGAGATCTAGTGGCTAAAGGCTGAATGGTGGGGAATAGAAGTTAGTGTTAGACAGTTTTGTATGCCCTTAGCTTCAATCAGAATGATGTACATTATGAGTTTATTGTAAATGAATAAAAGTACATATTTGATTCATGTTCCCTTGGTATGTTTCTGTGTAATACCCTTAAACTAGACACTTAATGAGACTCGTGTTAGTTTA